TGATGTCCCGTGGGTTGGTGAAGGGCATACCGCCATCCTTAGGATGCACAAGAACCACCATCACGTCTGGAGTAATATGAGGAGAAGGAGCATAGTCTGGACAAGTGGTGGGTTGGCGTTTTGGGCTAGACAGGGGTCTGGCACCGTCGTCAACCTCAAGGGCCCGTTTGTTTATCCCAGTAGGGGGCACACTAGCCATATCTTGGTCCGACGGTAGTGAGACAGTTGTCAACTGAGTAGAGACAGGAGGGGGGTCCCTCCCTATGAGGGCGAACGACATCTCAGTCGAACCCCCCATAAATGGGCCACACAACACCGCCTGAAGGAGAAGACAATGACAACACAAGCACACAAGAAAAGGAAGACGGTGAAGCAGAGCCTAAATAGGGCCTACACCACCAAGTAACAACTGAGGAACCTTCAGAAGACACGTCCACACTCCACCAATGCCGGCCGAGCTCTCAAGGTGCTAGTTTCTAGTGACTTGTTAAAAAGTAATGAAATAGCCTGCGAAAGGACATGGACCACTCGCTTGTACAATAATGGTGGGACATGAGACAGATTCCCTGAGTTATTTTTAACCCTTTGACTGTCGTGGTCATATATATACGTCTTACGAGGTACCGTGTTTGACGTATTACCTGGAGTTTACCTGGAGAGAGTTCCGGGGGTCAACGCCCCCACGGCCCGGTCTGTGACCAGGCCTCCTGGTGGATCAGAGCCTGATCAACCAGGCTGTTGCTGCTGGCTGCACGCAAACCAACGTATGAGCTACAGCCCGGCTGATCAGGAACTGACTTTAGGTGCTTGTCCAGTGCCAGCTTGAAGACTGCCAGGGGTCTGTTGGTAATCCCCCTTATGTGTGCTGGGAGGCAGTTGAACAGTCTCGGGCCCCTGACACTTATTGTATGGTCTCTTAACGTGCTAGTGACACCCCTGCTTTTCATTGGGGGGGATGGTGCATCGTCTGCCAAGTCTTTTGCTTTCGTAGTGAGTGATTTTCGTGTGCAAGTTCGGTACTAGTCCCTCTAGGATTTTTCAGGTGTATATAATCATGTATCTCTCCCTCCTGCGTTCCAGGGAATACAGGTTTAGGAACCTCAAGCGCTCCCAGTAATTGAGGTGTTTTATCTCCGTTATGCGCGCCGTGAAAGTTCTCTGTACATTTTCTAGGTCGGCAATTTCACCTGCCTTGAAAGGTGCTGTTAGTGTGCAGCAATATTCCAGCCTAGATAGAACAAGTGACCTGAAGAGTGTCATATATACTCATGTATATATACTCATAAATTCTAGCGGCTTCAAATCAAGCAGGAGAAAGCTGGTAGGCCCACATGTGAGAGAATGGGTCTGTGTGGTCAGTGTGCACCATATAAAAAAAAATCCTGGAGCACGCAGTGCATAATGAGAAAAAAAAAAAACTGACCTTTTTTTAATTAAAATGCCGACTTTGTGGTCTATTTTCGTATAGTATTTATGATTGTATTCTCGTTTTCTTGGTCTCATTTGATAGAATTGAAAACATGTTATAGAAATAGAGGTGATTTTGATTGATTTTACTATAAAAAAAACCTGGAAATGGAGCTCAAAGTAGGGGAAATGTTTGATTTTTGCCGATTTTCAAAAGAAAACAGATGGTGTCATTGTCCAATAAATGTCCAACTAGCCATTCTAATATGCAGTCATGAATGGGTTGATGTTATTTATACAATTATTACAGTATTGCAGTAGTCTGCATAATAGTAAATCTTCTATTTTTTGTTTGAATAAAAATTCAAAATAGAAAGCAAGAGTAGTATCAGAGGGGCCTTGAGACATGACTGATGAACAAAGAAAATGTTATTTTAGAGCCAGGAATGTCTGCATTGTTCATTCTGGACCTTATTTTGAAATTGTCATATTTTGTAATTTTCGTGAAATTGGCCAAATTGCAAATTTCTGACCACATTATTGGGTAGTTGAAATCAGTAAATGGGCAGTTTCTTGTACTCAGTCGATAGAAAAAACAGAGTTCTAAAGAAATAACTATGAGTTTGGTCGACTGGAACAATGGAATTAGCCGAAAATAGGGCTCAAAGTGGGCGAAATCGCCGATTTGTAAATACCGCTGAGGTCACTAACTTCACGAGAGCGTAATTCCGTCAGTTTTCCATCAAATTTAGTTTTTTTTTGTGTCATTACAATCGGGAAAAGATTCTCTATCGTTTCATAAGAAAAAATAATTTTTTTTTCTTTGAAATTTTGCGACGCCAGGAGACACCTCAGGATTGGGGGTTGCGACAGTCAGTGGGTTAAGTGACCTTATAATCTCGGTGACTTTGGTGGGCTCAGTTGGTACAAGATAGAAGGAATTTGGGAAATTCCCATCTAGGTAGTCCCTGGCATGGGCGTTGGTACATGGGATTTTACTGGCAAGATTAGATCCTATAGTTGAGAAGAAGTCATTTATCTTGTTAGCTGTATCAGTGGGATGCAGTGGTGTTTCATTAGGTTTAGTTAAGACAATATTCTTGTTTTTTTCAGTTTGTGGGTGCCCAGAATCTGGAAGTGCTTTCCAGGTCTTTTTTATATCTCCTCTTGTGTCAGTGAATCTGCTGGAGTAGTCCAGTTGTTTGGCTTTATTTATTACTTTGGTGAGAACTGATGAATAGTGTTTAAGAATATTTTTGTGTATTAAGGCCTGTCTATATTGCTTTTCATATTGGTGTTTCTTAGCAATGGATTTCAGAATGCTGCTGGTTAGCCATGGGCAACTGAGCCGTTTATTCATGATCTGTTTCTTTTTTATAGGGCAATGTTTGCTGTATAGTCTAAGTAATTTGTTAAGAAAAATGTCTGCCCAATCGTCAGTACCATTGGCCTTGGAGAATTCTGTAGGCCAGTCAACAGTCTCTAGGTCTGCTGTGAACTTCCTTATTGAGGCCTCGTCATGGAGTCTAAATGAAACTTTTTTGTATTCCAGTGGTGGTTTACTAATGTTTGTTAAGAGGAAGGTAGGGTAGTGGTCTGTAGTGCTGTCTGTGATTATCTCTGATTTAAGGGGGGCTAGTATATTGGTCCATATGTGGTCTATTATGTTTGCACTTGTCTCAGTGAGCCTGGTTGGTTTAGTTATTGTTGGTATGAGAAGTGTGTTGTTCATATTGTTGATGAAATCAGTTACAGTGACCTCAGACACTCGATTGACCTAAGAGAGTTTTGGAAAGATCGCTTTAGTATCCTCAGTTGCATAAACTTTATAGGTAAGACTTGGGAGGGAGTAACTAAGAGGACCTTGAACTCTGCTTGGAGGAAATTGTGGTCACAATGTGTAGAAGAGAGGGATTTTGAAGGGTTTGGGGCTAACCTTCAGGAACCTATGCCAGTTGTGGAATCTGTTGTGGCATTGGGGAAGTCCTTGGGGTTGGAGGTTAGTGGGGAGGATGGAGGATGACAGTGAAGAACTAACCACTGATGAGCTGCAAGAGCATCTGCGACAGCAAGAGGCCACAACTAAGGAAATTGCTTCAGAGGAGGGGAGAGAGAAATGGAGGAAGTTGCCTTCTTCAATGATTAAGGAAATGTGTTCAATGTGGTCAAAGGTGCAAACCTTTATGGAGGAAAATCACCCAGACTCGGCTATTGCAAGCCGTGCTGGTGACTTTTACAATGACAATATTGTGAACCACTTTAGGAAAATCTTAAAGGAACACGAGGTACAGAGCTCTATGGACAGATTTTTGGTGCGACAGAGGTCCAGTGACTCTCGAGTTGTTCCCAGTGGCATTAAAAGAAGGGGGGAAGTAACCCCAGAAAAGGACTTGCTACCTAAAGTCCTTACGGAAGGGGAGTCCCCTTCCAGAAATTAATACACTTCCATCTCCCCTCCTCCCATCTCATCATGTCAGCATAGTTGCTGACATCACTACAGCTTCAATAAAGGTAAGTGTCATTTATTCTTCATTTAGTACTTAGTATTCTTCATTTAGTATGTATCCTTTTTGTGTGTAGGAAAATGTATATTTCATGTGTTAAAATTTTTTTTTTCATACTTTTGGGTGTCGGGAACGGATTAATTGGATTTCCATTATTTCTTATGGGGAAAATTAATTCGACTTATGATAATCTCGTCTTATGATGAGCTCTCTGGAATGGATTAATATTGTAAGTTGGGGGTTCACTGTACTGTGCTTGTAGATATTATGCATAATAAGCATGACTGGCAAGTAATACTCATTTTCACTTGTTCAGGAATCAGACGTGACTACTCTGCTTCTCTGGATCATGTGTAATGCCTGTTGGTTCACAAGTCGCTCTCTCTGAGACAGAAAGAGAGACAAGCAGAGGGACAGAAAGACAGATAAGCAGAGACAGAGATAAACAGAAAGCTAGACAGACAGACAGATGGACAGACAGACATGTTTATGTGTAACAGACATGTTTATGTGTAACAGTAAAAACAAATAAAGCCAAGGCAGTGCACGATCATCAACTGTCATTCCACTGCTGCACTGTCAGCAGTGGAGTGGCACTCGTCTTACACTCGCGTGTCGAAAACATTACTGGGACCTATAAATTCTATGTATATATTTCTAGACAATAGTATGTGACTAAGGTAGGTGAAAATGTTCACCTGTCTCTGTGACTATTTGAGTACTATTTCAGTACCTAATATTAGTGTCAGAACAAAGATTGGCTATGAAATCACAAGAACTACTACAAATTGTAATTATCAGAACATAAAAATTATATAAATTAAAAAAAAAAAATGAGAAGAAGAGTATATTGGCAACGCTTCTGCAAGCGGCAGCGCTTCATGTTGCCGTCAAGTGAGGAACAAGCGCCGACTTTGTGGCATTATATCTCCATAAGTACTGACTCTAAATTTTTTTTTTTACATTATGTAAAATTTTTTTTTTCCAAAATATTTGGAGGGCTGGGCGAGAGAATGTATATCTACATTTGGACAGTTAAGGGGTTAATTGAGTACGTACATGCTAAATATATTTTTTTTATAATTTTAGGTGTTCCTAGAGAAAATACCTTGTGAAGTGTGAAAATGGCAACTAAGGAAGTGACAGTTGAAAGTGAGGACACTGGTGTTGAGGTCCGGATAATTGGAGATCCAGTTGTGAGTACATTGTTAATTATTCCCCAACATGATTATTCAGGTTTTCCCATATAATTCATGCTTTGCTTCTTGCAGAATGCATTATCTTACATGCAGAATGCTGTTCTTGTTTGAATTTGTAAATGTGTACACTATTGCACTGCTATTAGAATCTGTAAAAAAATCTTATTTGCAAATAAACTTGTTTTTCATTTATTGTACTGTATACTGTACAAAATATCTCATAAATTCAGTATTACATGATCAGTCTTTTTAAATTATCCTGTAATATTAATACAGTGGTATCTTGACTTATGAGTTTAATCCATTCTGTGACCTAGCTCATAGCTCAATTTCCTCCTATATCAAATCAGTTTTCCTCATTGAAATTAATTGAAATGCCAATAATCTGTTCCAGCGGAATTCCTGGCTCTGGGGAGGCAAGAGAAAATACTTCAATATAATGCTAATATGAACTCTATGGCTTATTTATCTATCACAATTGATCTAATATGACATAATAAACAGTATAAATAACATAGAAACGTGATATATACTCTAGAATGAATAAAATATGTCATTATGTGACAAGTGGTGGCGGCCACTTCCGAGGTAAAAATTATTATCGCTCTGACCATATCTTCCCATGCTTTCCCTTCTGAGGTTTTATTATAAGAGAAAACAGAGTGTTTGTGAGGCTAACTGCACTAAATCAATAGTTTCATAAGGAAAACACTGAAATAATCTTTTTATAAATAAGAAATATTGTATAAAAACATAAAACATATTAGAGAATGTAATAAATGAACTGGTTTTACAAAGTGTACGTATTTACCTTAGAGAACAGATGCTGGTGGAGGGTGGAAAAGATAGGTAGAGGAGATTGAAAGAGTTCGTATTGTTTTGTGCTTTTTCTAACACTTAATTGCTTAACTTACTTGCTACACTCTTAATGCTACACTTTATCGCTGAACTTAATTGCTACAATTTTTTTTTTTTTCATTTCACTTTTCACTGTTTTTTTTTCATTTTTCTCCATGCTTTCCTCACTTTCATCTGCGGGGTGTTTCAATAAAAACCAGTCCAAGGAGGTTTGTTTCATCCTCCCTTTCAGAATGTTTTGGAAATGAGTTAGACAAGTGTCATTAAATAGTGCTGACGCATGGCCAGTTGCAACTTTCTCTGGGTGTTTCCTTTCAATAAACTCGGAAAGTCCCCCCCAGATTCCCAACATTTCCTCTATCTCGCTGCCTGCACACCTCCCTCGTGTTTTTCCATGATTTCATGCTTTAATTCAATGAACATCATCCTCCTCTTCTCAGCACTGTCCTTTGCACTTACTTTCTGAGGACCCATGGTTAGAAAAAAGAAATTTGGCATAATAACTGTACAAAAAGCACAAAATACAGTACAAGCACAACACAAGAGAGATGCTTCCACGGCGAGGTAAACATGTGCTCTGCTGAGAGGATGTTGTGGCATTCGCTGCGCCAACTAGAGGCGGTGTATCTGAAGCTCGCTTGTAAATCAGATTTTGGCTTATAACTCAGAGCAAAAAATTGACTGAGTGACGGCTCGTAACTTGGAAAACTTGTACTTTGGGGCACTCGTAGGTCAAGGTACCACTGCAGGTGTAAAATGTACATGGTATAGATTATGAACTTTAGACAGTTGTATATGTATTATTTTGTCAAATAGTGAGTGAGGATGATTTTTATATTGATAAGATATGAATAAATTGATACTTACAGGGTAAAGGGCTGTTTGCTACTCGTGATTTTAAGTCTGGAGAAGTTATCTTTGAAGAGAGACCGCTGGTGTCCTGTCAATTTTTATGGAATGCAGCCTATGGATACCTTGCATGTGACTTTTGTATGAGGTAAGTTAAACTAAAGGCTTTCTCCTATGATATATCTGGAATATTGATTACAGCTAGCCTTCCACTTTCACAAGTTCCACTTTTGTGAGCTTTGAACATTGTCGAATGTCCAGCTGCCCGATCATATTTACCAAACAAATGTGGGAAAAAGTACAGGAAAACCACTTCCCGCCGCATCCTGGCTACCCTCCCTCTTACCCCCTCAACCAACAGCCTGCCAGTCCGCCACTCAGTCATTGTCCAGTTACTGTTCACGTCGGTCGTGTCCAGTTACTGTTGTCCTACCATGCATGTGTGTTTGTGTGGTGGTGCAAGTGTGGCCCCCAAGCAAGCAGCAACTGCTATTGATGAGCCAACCCTTAAGCGCTCAAAGAAAGTCATGAATCTGGAGAAGGTGAAATTGCTAGACAAGTGTAGGGCAGGTTATTTGAGCAATTCTGCCATTGGAAAATTGTTTAATGCAAACGAAAGCACAGTGTGCTCTATCAAGAAATATGAGGCAAAGATTAGGGTGGCACTAGCATCTGCTGCTCCTCCCTCAGCCAAGCAAGTGTTACAAGTAAGAAAGTGTGATGTCTAAGATGGAATCAGCAAAATTTGTGTGGATTTCAGATCAAAATAGAAAAGGAATTCCCATAGACAGCAGTGCTATTTGTGCAAAGGGAAAGATTTTGTATGATACGTTGGCTAGTCATGAGGCTAACACCAGTGCAGAACCAGGATGTCCTACCATCACCCATCCTGACTTCCTAACATGTAAAGGATGGTTTGATAAACTAGGGCAAGCGATGAGAAAGACAGCACAGCTCAAACAATTTTTTTACAACCCATTGATGTTGAGGGCTTTGAAGGTGATGAGCGACATTGATAGGAGCATAATTCCCTACAAAACTCTGTAGATATGAAGAGGAAACGGTCTCAGTTACCCATCACAATGTTCTTCACAAGGAAGCTTGCCACTACCCCTGCCGTTACCCCTACTGCCTCGCCTGAACCTCAACCCATGGCAGAATCTGACTCCATTGCTAACTCTGACTCTAGCGATGTCAGCGGTGACGCTGGCAGTGAAGAGTTAGAATCCACACACTAGACTCATCATGCTGTACAGTTACACTCCATATAATGACCTCTATTCAACTGTCATCAGTAACTGCATGGCTAACTATCATCACCACAAGTCGTCAGAGTTCGTCTGCCTAACCATATGAGTGGTGATTGTTTTGTTTGTTCATTATTTGTTATTAAATCATAACATGTATATACAATATTTTATGATGTTTTCATGTGTTTTGTGATTGTTTGTGGTTCAATAAGTTAAAGAAACAGTATTGTTAGGCTAAGCAAATGCTGTTATTATATTTCCCTACATCATATTTGTGCACCAAACATTCACGAATTTTCAAGATTCGCGAGGTTCATGATCCCCTTACCCTCGTAAATGTGGAGGGCCTCCTGTATTTTGTTTCTTTTCATGATACAGTGAACTCCTGGATATCTGCCTGTGCAAATATCGGTCAAATCGGATTTTGGCCGCTTTTTTTGGCTGAAATTCTATCCTGGATTTCAGCCGGCATCTTGGAAGTCGGCCATATTGGACACGTCCGCCTGCCATTCCGCCATGTTCATGAGTCAGTCTGGCTGTGTCTCTGGGTGAGTGAGCAACACTCTGTGCATTCATCTAAACATTTTGTTATAATCCATTGTTTTTTGTGGTTGTTTATTGAGTGTGACTGCAAAACAAGCCACCATAGGCCCAAAGAAAGTTCCTAGTGCCAGCCCTTTGGTAAAGAAAGTGAGAAACATGATAGAATTCAAGAAAGAAATTGTAGCAAAGTACGAAAGTGGTGTATGTGTGCTCCAGCTTGCCGGGATGTATGGGAAGTTGAAATCAACAATCACCTCCATCCTGGCAAAGAAAGTAGAAATCAAGGAAGCTAATGTTGCAAAAGGGGTAAATATGCTAATGAAACAAAGATTACCAATAATCGAAGATGTGGAGAGGTTATTGTTGGTATGGATCAACGATAAACAGTTAGCGGGAGATAGTGTTGTTTACTTGGAGTTTACCTGGAGAGAGTTCCAAGGGTCAACTCCCCCGTGGCCCGGTCAGTGACCAGGCCTCATGGTGAATCAAAGCCTGATCAACCAGGTTGTTACTGCTGGCTGCACACAATCCAACGTACGAGCCACAGCCCGGCTGGTCAGGTACCGACTTTAGGTGCTTGTCCAGTGCCTGCTTGAAGACAGCCAGGGGTCTGTTGGTAATTGTGTTGTCTCTTAACGTGCTAGTGACACCCCTGCTTTTCATTGGGGGGATGTTGCATCATCTGCCGAGTCTTTTGCTTTCGAGTGATGATTTTCGGTGCAAGTTGGGTACTACCCCCTCTAGGTTTTTTCCAGGCGATATACCCTTCATCTCTCCCACCTGCTTCCGGGGAGTACAGGTTCAGGAACTTCAAGCGCTACCATAATTGAGGGTTTTTATCTCCGTTATGCGCGCTGTGAATTTCCCCTGAATTTTGTGGGTCACAATTTCCCCCCTTAAAAGGGTCTGTTGGGTTCAGCAATATTCCAGCCTGAAGAACAAGCGACCAAGAGTGTCATCAGGGGCTTGGCATCCCTATTTTGAAGGCCATTACCATCCGTCTTTTTTCGGGCAATGCGATTGATACAATGTTAGGTCCTTGAAGGTGGATCCTCGACATGATCACTCCCAGGCCCTTTGATTTTGGGTTTTTCACTCTTTTTTGTGGCGGGAATTTGTTTTGTACTCTGATGAATTTTAAATTTCCTCATGTTTACCATAAAGAGAAAATTGAAATTTCTCATCTTTTAAACTTCAATTTTTTCCCTGCTGCCCATTGAAAGATTTGGTTGATGCCACCGGGACCTTGCAGTGTCGCAATGGAAGAACTGTCTTTGCAGATTCGGTGTCTCTAAAAGGGAAACAGGGTGCTTGGCTGACATCCTTGTCTATGTCAGATAAGGATGAGAAACAAGATGGGAGCGAGTACTGTGCCTTTTTGCGGAACAGAGCTTTTCACCGACCGCCTCAATTTTACTCTTTTTGACTGCTACTCTTTGGTTCTTTTTGTGAGGAAATTATAATCCATCTACCAACTTTTCCTGTTATTCCTTTTAGCAAGCTTTTGTGTTTCTATTACGCCATGGTCCACTTGTCGAAGGCTTTTGCAAAGTCGTATATATTACATCTCTTTCTTTTTGTCTTCTAGTGCATCTGGGACCTTGTCATAGTGATCCAGTAGTTGGGAACAGACGGAGCCCTGCTCTAAACCCTGTTGCCCGGGGTTTTAATTAAATGGATCTAGATGGGTGGTGATCTTGCTTCTTAGGATCCTTTCAAAGATTTTTATATTTTTGGATGTTAGTGCTATGGGTCTGTATTCTTTGCTAACTTTATGCCCCTTTGTGGAGGGGGGCTAGTCTGTTTTTTTTAGTAACTGGGACGCCCCCCGTCCATCTCCCCCCCCATAGGAGGTAAAAGCATGTGATAGGGGCTTTTTTGCTTCTTGATGAACACGGAGTTCCATGAGTCTGGCCCTGGGCAGAGTGCATGGGCAGTCATTTATCCCTGTTCGAAGTCATAGGTGTCAGGATAACATCAGATGTTGTTTTTACCAAAATTTTTGTGGCCTCTCATAAAAAATTCATTTTGATATTTTACTCTCAGTCTGGGTTTGCAGCTTGCTAAAAACTGAGTCATATTGGGACTTGAGTAGCTCACTCATTTCCCCTTTCGTCATTTGTGAGGACCCATCTTGTTTAAGTAGGGGCCCCAAAACTAATGTTTTTCTTGACTTTGATTTGGCAGGTGCCAAATCGCCAAAACTTTCCCATGGTCAGCTTTTTAATAATCTTCCTGGTTGCTATGTACTCGCATATAATCTATGATACCCGGAAAAGAAATACAGGTTGTAGTACCCAAATAACCCGTATTAAAAGGACTTAGTGGAGTGGAGTGACTTTCATTTGTTTCTTTTTCTTGAAAAACCAGAACGAAACGTAATTTCATATAACCTGAGTTACCACGGGCGCAATATACACAATGAAATAATTATTACTACAGAAAAGCGTCCTTCCTCCAAAAATTTCCACCCGCAACTAAGTGATAATATAGCATTTATTGTGGGGGAGACGAAAAAAAAAAACTAGAAAAGCAATACAGCGATTGAAAACAAGGGTTGAGGCCCGACCGTTCGTCATTGTAGGGGCCTGCCAGAAAACACCGGCTCTTCAACACGCAAGTTTTACTTTTGTATCAATCAAATCACAATTACTCGGAAAATTTCAAGTAATCCTTTATGGTTAGCCCAAAACACCGACAGTAGTTTTAAAAAGTGACCCACTGTCAGATCAGATTTTCTGTCCAACCCTCAAAGTCCGAACCCTTTTTATGGTCCCCAACCCTCACTGGTTTTAAACGGATTCGTTTTGGAAAAATAAAGCAGACTGTAAACGGGTGGGGGGTTTAGGGGCCCTTATCAAAAACAAAAAATAAATATAAATCGAACGTACCGTAACTGTCCAAAACAAGACATTAAAAAAAAAACAAATACTAAGGGTTTCCCTTAAAGGGGGTTATTAAAAGGTATTCAAGAGGTTCTAGTAGAAATTTCAGTAAATCAAACATTCAAAACATTTTAAGCTCTGTATAGTCTGCAGTCAAAAAAAACAAAAGGGGTTCCACATGGATAAATTGTCATTTTGTGGAAATTGGTGCGCGCCCCTTGGCAGATATCCAAGAACTAGCTACAAGCAGTATTAAAACAGGAAGTGTTTTTTTGGGTTTCCCAAAAAGGAAAAAACTGTGGGCTAAAATCAAAGGGTATTAAAAAGGAAACACAAAACTGCTTTCATAACAACCGGGGAAACTTTCTACAACAGGGGGGAACATAAAAATCGGGCTGAATGGGGGTTGCCCTTTATACGGCCAGTAGTCAGAAATGAAGGCTGGAGTGGGTGTCCTGGTATCAGTAAAT